TTCTGCTTCATTGTTTGATGCTTTGAATCCCAGCCGGATGGCCTGCTCTGCAATAATCCCTTCTGGAGAGGTCAGCAAGACACCGATTCCGGACCCCTTACTGTTCGATGAACCATCCACACATAAAAGCCATGGCGATCCTTCAACATTTGTTGGAGATGCTAAGTTGGGAGGAGGCGATCCTTCTAGAACAGGATTCTCCCCCGAAAACTCGGCTATGAAGTCCGCCAGTATTTGTCCCTTTATTGCAGTTCGGGGTTTGAAATGAATGTCGTGCTCCCCCAACTCTACAGCCCATTTGGAGATCCTTCCAGAGTTCAGCTTTCCTCAAAATTGCCTTCAAGGGCTGATCAGTTAGGACAGTGATTGGGTGCGCCTGGAAGTAATGGCGCAGTTTCCTTGCAGTGGTGACCAAGGACAGGGCCAGTTTTTCTAGGGGCAGATATCTTGTCTCTGCATCCAGGAGCGCCTTGCTGATGTAGTAAATCGGCTTCTGTCGGTGCTCATGCTCACGGATAAGTACTCCGCTTACTGCAAATTCTGAAACTGCCAGGTATAGGAACACATCTCCCCCTGGATGGGGACGGATAGGGTGGAAGAGTCCTCAGGTATTCTTTGATCCCAGCCAGGGCGTCCTCGCACCCCTGGCTCCACATACTCTTCCCAGCACATTTGATTGCTCCAAAGAAGGGTTTGCATTTATCCGAGGAGCGTGAGACAAATCGGTTAAGTGCAGCCAGCATCCCTGTGAGTTTCTGGACTTCTCGGACAGTACGAGGGCTTCGGATATCCAGGATTGCTTTAATCTGATCTGGGTTGGCTTCGATTCCCCGATGACTAACCAGATACCCGAGGAATTTTCCTGACTCCACTCCGAAGACGCACTTTGCTGCATTTAGCTTCAACCCATACTCCCTGAGAGTGGAGAAGGTATCCGCCAAATCTGTAAGATGATCACCACTCCGTTTGCTTTTTACCAGCATGTCGTCTATGTAGACCTCCATGGTGTTGCCGATCTGTCTCTTGAACATCCGATTCATCAATCTTTGGTATGTTGCCCCGGCGTTCTTCAATCCAAATGGCATCACTTTATAACAATAAACTCCCTTCGGAGTGATAAACGCCGTTTTTTCTTGGTCCGGGGCATAAAGAGGGATCTGATGATATCCCGCTCGAGCATCCAGGAAGTCCATTCGTTCATATCCGGCTGTGGCATCTACCAGCTGGTCCACCTTCGGCAGGGGGTAGTCGTCCTTGGGACATGCCTTGTTTAGATCTGTGAAATCCACGCAGACACGCCATTTCCCCCCTTTCTTTTTTGCACATACTGTATTGGACAGCCATTCTGGGAACTGTATCTCTCGAATGGCGCCAGCTCTCAGGAGTTTGTCTATTTCCTCATTGACCGCGTTGGTGTGATGCGGGGCCATACGTCGTGGCCTTTGCTTTACTGGCTTGTGAGATGGGTCAACATGCAGCCTGTGAGTAATTATTTCGGGGTCTACTCCTGTCATTTCCATTTCGTTCCAGGCGAACACGTCTGTATTCCCTCTTAAGAACCTGATCATCTCCTCCTGTTCGGCTGCGGGCATCGAGGTCCCAACTAGGAAATACTTCTCTTCTTCTCCTTCTACCAAGGGCACCTTCCGGAGGTCTTCAACCGACCGTTCCGCTGGGTCTACCCGGGGTCATCCATCCCCGGACGCCCGGACTGTAATTGCTATTTTTCTATGATCTCTTCCGGTGCTCGCCCCTTCTCCTGGCCTGACGCCCCGGCTCGGACGGCCGAATAAAAACAGTTCTTCGCAGACGCTTGATCTCCCCGGATCTCCATGACGCCCTCTGGCGTGGCGAACTTCAACTTTTGGTGGAGAGTGGAGTGTACCGCTCCCAAAGCGTGTAGCCATGTTCGACCCATAATCACGTTGTAAGGGGAGTCCGTGTCGATCACCACAAACTGTGTCGATGACGAAGGGACCAGTGGCGACCGGTAATGTAATTTTCCCCACGGGCAAGGCGAAAGAGCCGTTGAACCCGATGAGGGGTGTCCTGATTTTGGTCAAGTCTTTGGGGCCAAAACCCATCCGCTTCAAAGTCTCGAAGTACATCACCTCCGAGGAACTCCCTGAATCAATCAAGATTCTCTTGACATCGAATTTCCCTATCTTCAGGGTTAAGACAAGGGCGTCGTTATGAGGAATCACCACGCCCGTCAAATCCGCGTCAGAGAACATAATGCCAAGCTCACCCATCCTGGCCCTTTTGCTTGATGGCCCACACCTCCTTCGGCTACCTTTCTGGTAAAAGCTACCCTCTTGAGGTCGGATTCGAGCTCTTTGGACGTGGGGCGCTCCAGTGGACACACATGGATGACGTCTATGACGTTGTTTGGTTCCTCGGTCGGGGCATGGGCTCGTTTCTCTTCTGGCCTGGGCTCTATGTATTCTTTCAGATATCCATCTCGGACTAAGCTCTCCAAGAATGACTTGAACACCCTGCAGCTCTCGGTGCGATGCCCGACATCCCGGTGATATGAGCATCTTACTGTTTGATCACGGGTGGAGAGGTCGCTTTGCATCCTGGGCGGCCATTTGAAAAACGGTTCATGTTTGATTTTATGGAGCAACCTGAAGATGGGTTCCTTGAAGACGGTGTGAACTCCTCTGGACGAACCCCCTGGACGGGGTAGCAATCCCTTCCGGGGAATATCTTCGTGCTCTTTTTCCTTTCTCTTGGGTTGGAGGGCTCGGCCTTTGTTGCCCCCCATCTCGTCCTCGACCCTTGAGTACTTGTTGATTCGGGCCATCAGTTCCCCCATATCCGAGGGAGTCTTTTTGGTCAGGGATCGGTACAGGTCCGTGTCCCTGGCCAAGCCGAGCCGGAATGATGCTGCTGCCATGACCTCCGAGCATCCCTCGACCTCATTGACTTCTTCCCAGTATCGGATGGCGTACTGGCGAAGAGTCTCGGATTCCCTCCTCCTGAGGGTCAGCAGTGATCCAATGTCCTTTGGGCGCTTACTCCCCGTGATGAATCGGGTTAGGAACTGCCTTGTCAATTCTTTCCAGGACCCAATACTGTTTGGGGGAAGCGCCTCGAACCACCTCATCGCGGAGTCCCCCAAGCTCATAGGGAATACCCGGCATAGAAACCGTTGGTCCGAATGATAGAGGGACATCATCTGCTTATACTGTCTGATATGGGCATCGGGATCAGATCGCCCATCATAGGTCTTGAACCGTGGCACGACGAACTTTCTTGAGACGTCCATCTCGCTGATTTCCCTCGTGAAGGGTGTTTGCATGACTTCGTCCTCGGCCTCGTCCTGGATCGTCTTGCCCTTTCTCCTGGAGTCTAATCGGGCTCTGAGATCTACTTCTTCCCTTGCGGGATGCCTCCTGAAGTCTCTGGGTTCGTCGGTAAGCCCCTCGTTTCCTGGGCGTCGTGTAGATTGGGTTGAGTCCTCCTCGGATTCATCTCCCTTCCTCCGTCTGGATAAACCTCGCCGGAGGTCGTCCAGGGCCAATGGCCTTGCTTTCCTGGAATGGTTGTCAAGATGGCATTCGCCGGCCCTGGGTCACTTCGGGGCCCTGGAGCTTTCTGCTTTGTGATCCAGGTGGTTCCTTAGATCCTTTGTCTCCGCCTCATGGACGGGGAGTCCTCGGGAGAGGAATGAATCCCTCGACCCTCCGCCTGAGGCAGCAAACTCGTCGAGCCGGCTAAGGACGTTTACATTGTCCTTCTCCAGCTGGCGTAATCTATCGCCAAATTTCTCTTCAATCACCTCTGCCAGCTGACGGGCCAAGGGGGCTGATCCTCCTGACCTGATACCCATACTGGTTTGAGGGGTTACCCCCCTTGACCGAGTAGAGGCACTTTTAATCGTACTGGTGCGATCCCTCCCTCCGTGATGGCAGGGAGCTTGCAACTCATGACTCCGTTGGTGGGGTCCTTTCCCTTTCTGTCTGGTGTTCACCATGGTCACTGTTCTTTTATAGAGAAAAGATTAGGAAAACTACTCGTTTCCCACAGACGGCGCCAGATTGTGCGGGCTTGATCCTGCACGATATATATAAAATATTGGGAACAGATCTCTCCCCTGGTGAACTTTGGGTGAGCCGATTGAGTGGCCAAACACACTGATCGAAACAGCTTACGATCCTGGGAAAGGAGGAACGATCCTGTACGTGCGAAAGGTATTTCCTGGGACAAAAGAGAACAAGTTAGAAGGGCGCCGGAGTGTTTTCCGGCGTATCCCCTCCGACGGTCTAGTCAGTCTTTGAATGAGAGAGAGGAAGGAGAAAACACTGAGAAGGATATTTCGTAGTAGAGAGTTTTTGATTGCATACCCGCTTTGTCTTTTGGGAGGGGTATTTATACCTTAGAAGATCATGATTGCTGTCAGTGTGGTCAGTAGGTGATCATCAGGCACAGGTAGCGTGTGTAATCATTTGATGAGGAATGTCTTCTCTAATTGACTGCTCGGGGTCCCGAGCAATTAATGGTGAGTTGTCGGGACGCCGACGGTACAATATGCTCCTTTCGGGAAGGATGCAATAAATGCTCTGTAATAGGAGCATTTATTGCCTTTCATATCCGAACCTTACCGCATTAAATGCGGTCTTGTCAACAGAAGGGTGTAATTAATTATTTGCTTTCCCAAGTCGCGTGCCAGCTGCGGCATGCGGTTTGTCTGTTTCAGATGTGACATTATTTGCCACATGTCCATCCCTTATTGGCTGTTACGTCGGTATTCCAGCACGTTCTGACATTACTTGTGTAAGAAGAGGCCATGATGAATAGTCCATACTGGCATAGGCTGATGTCCAGTTTGTCAGTAGCTTTATCCGGGAGTAGAGGAAGCATCCAGGATGGAGTGACCCTCGGCGCCGAGGAAAGGCCCACCTCGGGGATCAAGGGGTGGTGTGTTCCTGAGGTACATGGTGACCGAGAACACATGTCATTGTATACTGTACCGAATATGTGATCCTATATGAGAGGTACCTCGGGGGAGAGGACGATTTTGCCGATGGTGCTTGAACCCGAGCAACATTGTTCTAGAAACCCCCCCGAGGACACGTGTCTTCATCATAGGCTTTTTCAGAAGAGTCCCATCATTTACAATCCTACTACCCACCAATTCATTACGCTTCCTGATCCTACTGGACGAAGTTTCAAGAACACTCGCGGTGTTCAATTGGCCTTTGATCCGTCGAAATCACCATGCTACAAAGTTGTTTGTGTTTATTCATCTGTGGGATTGCCTGAACATTATGAAATTGAAGTATATTCATCTGAAACCGGTCTTTGGAGGCGCTCTGGTAATCCTTTCCGCTCATCTGTTACATTTAAGAAAGGGGTTTTCTGGAATGGTGCTATTAATTGGTTCAACTCCTCGGGCGATTTTTTATGTTTTAATGTTGATGAAGAGTGGCTTCGAACGCTGGCAATGCCACCGGCTCCCAATGGTGGTGAGAAGAGGATGGTTAAATACTTCGGGGAATCTTGTGGCCATTTGCATCTTATTGAGAATTATGGTCCTCCTACGATACATTTCATTGTCTATGAAATGGGAAGAAATTACTCTGGTTGGTTTGTGAAGTACGTTGTCGATCTTGACCCAGTTATGAAAGCATTTCCAGAGTCCATGAACAGAGGTGTGGGTTCATCAGACTTGAATTATTACATGTTTCTTATACTAACTCTTACACGAATGGGTAATGACGAGGAGTCATTTCTATTGTTTACTTTACCTGCTAAGGCGATGCGTTACAATTTGTCGGACAAAACTTTTGAGAAGGCTTTCGACTTTGAAGAAGGTCGTGTAAGAAGGGAGATTTTCCCAATTGTCCCATGGAATGATGCATTTCCATACATTGAGTCCCTCGCTTGTGTGTGATAATATTTCTTGCAATAACCAGTAGAGTCCCCTGTTTTCACTGTGTTGTTGTTACATTTAGTTTTGTTGTTGAATCAGTTTTTCTTATCCATGGTCAATGAGATTTGATGTTTTGGGTATATATACATTTGTAGAAGCTATAATCTTCATGTTTATTTTAATTTTTGGTCCACTTTATGTAGGTTTTGTGATAGTACTTAATTGTAAAGGTAATTGATGAGGATCATGTTGGAGTTGGATAGATATTATAGATTTATCTACATCAGTAATTTAGCATTTTGTGTCTTGACCATTAAGGTTACCTATATCGTTGAGTTGTTCTATTTTTTCCTCTGTTCTGTTTTTATCTTCTTTCTTTCAACTAATGACATGGTTTGAACCTCTTGTTGAGGTCCGAGTTTAGTTATAGATGTATGTTATTCTTGCTTTTTGTTTGTGGAAGTAGATTTTGTGGTCTCTCTATGCCATCTTTTGTACTTGCTTAATTCCAAGTGACACACTGTATCATCGTCAAAAGTATGTCATTGAAGACTTGGTATTACCATGACACTGACCTGCCCCATGGGGTGCTCAAGCTTTTTGAATAAGGTGTCCTAGAATTAGAGGCACTGGTGAAATATTAGGCTTAGTCATCTGTGGAGGTTTGGACGTGTCTGTCAACAAATTCTAATGAATAAAACACTCCAGCATCATCTGATGCTAGTGGTCCTTCCATGACCTACTGAGAGGAAAACAGCATGGTTTTGTTCAATGACAGCTAAAAGCATACTCTAATGGTAACCTTTGCAGCAGATACCATAGTTTGAGGGTAGTGTTAGACCCTGAAATCCCCTAATACTGGTATAAGGAAAGCAATTAGCATTGGCCATTTGTGCTTTGACTTTTTATTATTCTCTAACTGCTAGCTGATATTTTCTTCTCACTAGCTCTCTACTAAGAATTGATGAAACAAAACGAGATGTTCGATTATATTGAAGACACTAGGGTTATAGAAAGCTATGAACATGAACTTGTGGAAATTCATGGCCATACTGTTACTGACAATCTCCAATTTGTATCACATATCCTAGTTGCACAGCTCCTTATTTCATGACATTAGCAGTGAAGAATATCATCCTATTAAAAGTTACATTTCGTTATACAAGCATGGAGACTGTAACATTCTTACTATGAAATCATGCACATAATCAATCAATTAGCTTTCTACTTACCTTTGGTGGTTTATTTCTCGGTTGGAGCCCTATCTCAAGTTCCATGTTTCTTAGCATTCTAGCAGTAGCTTTGGCATTTCATTTTTCACGGTTGGAAACAAAAAAACCTTCTCGTGAGTGCTTTCTTTGCAAGTCTGATTATTAAGAAGATGGTACCGTTTCATGGTTTGAGGTAATATTGTTGCGTAATTACATTGCATACCAGCATTGAGGAAAGTTAGCAATAACTTTTTCTCAATTATACAAGAATGGAGGGACACATTCTTAATACTCCTTAAAATTGTCACCGTAAAACAAATCTATGTTGACAACAATTCCTATAGGTAAAGTAAATTAACTTGGTCAATATGTTTAGGAAATGAAATTTGGATTTAGGTCTGTTTGGCAATTTCTATTTAATTTTTTCCCTGCAAGGTCTAGTGTTTGATACTGCTCTCCAAAAACTGAGTTGTTTGCGCTCCCTCATTTCATTTTTTACTTGAGTCTACTAAAATAATTGAAAAAAAATTATGCTCTAAAAATTGTTCCTTTTCTAGAAGATGCATTGAAAAGAGTTTCCAAAAACTTGTACCAAAGAGGCCCTTAGAATCTTGGAAAATTTTCTTTTTAACTGATTTTGTGGATATAGGATTCAATCCTGAAAAAAGAGTCCTCTAATTATATTTTTCCAATCCTCCATTGTTGCAGATAAAATTTATGTACTCCTATTTAATGATCTATTGGCCTTATTTATATGCCCTGAATGTTTTCCCTGGGTGCAGGGCTGTGGTTGATCAATTTTGATCTAATACCTCCAACTGCACATAAATTTAATGTATAAGTTTTGATATGAGCAAATAGAAGCTAAATTTAATTGTGAACACTGGTGGACCTGAGTAATTGATGTCTCACATTTCCTTGAGCTTATGTTTCCTTAGTGAACTGTTTGTTCCCTTTTGTAATTTGAGATTGGAAAATGTTCTATGGATAGCGCAAGCTTCTCTTTGAGGGAAAGAAAATGGAAAGAAGAGCTTGATGAAGAGCTTGAGAGGAAATGAGGCAAGTTTTATCTTTCCTGCATATAGTTTAAAATGTTCCATGGATAGCGCAAGCTTCTCTATGTTGTTTACGATGAAACCTGCTGGTTTCACACTCCGGTACTGGCCATGGTGAACTTTACCTTTAGCTTGTTACATTCCAAGTTTCCAGGAATATGATTGTTTGTTTCTCATGCCATAGCTTGTTTTCTCATATATTAAGGCCTTATGTGAGCTTGTATTTGAAGCTGCACTTTGCAGAGGTGATGCACCAGGCAGGTGGAGGTAAAAGACAACTTCTCTCAACAATTATATGTTTAATTGACAGAGAGTGAGCTGCTACAATTTGTATTCCAGGCTTATCAATGGAGGTATCCACATGTATATATACCTCTTGCTTGCGAATGAAATCATGTTTTCTCATTAAGAGTGCTCTATGAAGGGTGTCAATGTATCCAAATTCAACTTCTCCAGATCAAGGTTTGTAACTCCCTTGGATTGTTCGAATCCAATCTGAATCCTTCAATCCAAAAAATTGTCAATGCTTAATTTTCTGAACTTTGGGTTGCACAATGCAGGTCGAAATGTGATTATTTTAACATTGTTCTAATTATTAACATCTGTTACATATTTAATAGAATATTATTTTATTTTACCTCTCCAATTATGTAAAATTTTGCACTTTGTCTTAATACATCAACAATTTTCGTTCAAACAGGCAAAGGATATTTGCGATTAAGTAGTTTAAAATAATTCAAGTAGTTGAGAGGGAAACGTGCATAATTTAATAGTATGAGGGGCAATGTGACAAATGTAATAGTACAAGAGACAAATTGAAACTAAATCTATAGTTTGGGGTCAAAGTGTAATTTACTCAAATCTCCGAATAGAACCCAAAAGCTTACCAAGCAATACCCGACCTGCGTTCCCATTCTTCTTTTACACGAGCGTTATGGCCTCCAAGCGCATACCAACGGCCCAAACGGTCGCCGGCGACAATGACCTCTTGACGGAGATACTACTCCGCCTACCCATAAGACCACTCCTCCGTTTCAAATCCGTTTCCAAACACTGGCTCTCTCTCATCACCAACCCACATTTCTGTCGTCGCCGAAGCCGTGCACCATCTGGCCTATTCTTGCGCCGGCGTCCGAATCTCATTAACCCCGAGTACGATTTTATTCCTCTGGAAGACACAAGCCCGACGAAACCCCCCTTTGGAACTCTCACTTTTTCCGATGATCGTCATGGTATAAGAATCTTTCAGTCTTGTAATGGTTTGTTGTGTTGCTGTATCTCTGTAGGATTTAATGCTGACTGCAAGTATTATATCTATAATCCTACTACCCACCAATTCAGTACGCTTCCTATTCCTTCTGGTCGAGGTTTTTGGTACAGTCGTGGTGTTGGATCAGTTTATGCAGTTAATTTGGCCTTTGATCCATCGAAATCGCCTCACTACAAAGCTGTTTGTGTTTATAACTCTCAGATATTGCCTCTTCAATTTTCGATTGAAGTATACTCCTCTCAAACCGGCCTTTGGAGTCGCTCTGGTGATCCTTTCAGTTCAGATGTTAATTTTGGTCTAGGAGTTTTCTGGAAGGGTGCTATCAATTGGGTCAGTCGCCGGGCTGATTCATTGTATTTCGATGTTGATGAAGAGCGTCTTGGAAAAATGCCTATGCCTCCGCTGCGTGACGGTAGGGAGGAGAGGAGGCTCAGATATTTTGGTGAGTCTGGTGACCATCTTCATCTTATTGAGATCTATGGTCCTCATATGACACAATTCAGTGTCTACGAGATGGACAACTGATGGGACATTTTCGAAATATTCCAAGATGAAGACACGTGTCTTCGGTGTCACTAATCCTTGTTACCGAGATCACTTACTCATCGGTTCACAAGTTCCCTCACCCCCGAGGTAGGATCAAGTGGCATCCAGTACGTTTTTATGTAACGACACGTACCCCTCGGCCTGATATGGTACATCGGTCGCTAGGCCTCCCCCTCTCGGCTCCGAGATGTACCTCTTCCTCGGTACCGAGATGTACCCCCTCGTCCAGGATGCCGTTCTCTACTCCAGCAGAGGCTATTGATGTACAGGTCACTAGCCTAGGCTAGGCTAGGTTAGCTATCATGACCTCGTCTTACGCAATTGGTGTCAGAAGGCACAGAGGGCAGGGGACACAGCCAATGGGGAATGGACGCGTGACATATTGTGTCACATCAGAGACAGAAAGACCGGATGCCCTTGCTGACATACGACTTGAGAAAGCAAGCATTTAATTATACCATTCCTTTGATGAGACAACATTTAATGCGGTAAGGCTCGGAAGTGAAAGGTAATAAATGTCTTTAAGGCTGGACATTTATTACATCCTTGTCGAGAAGAGTTCATTAAACCGTCGGCAAGCCGATGACACAGTCTTGATTGCTCGGGGTCTCGAGCAGTTAAAAGAGAAGACATTCCTCGTAGGAATCAGTGCGCACGTTGCCTGTATCTAATGATCACCTACTAACCACACTGACAGCAATCATGAGTATTTAAGGTATAAATACTCCTCACAAAAGGCAAGACAAACAAGGTGAAACCTTTGCTACAAATTATACTCAGTGTTTTCTTCTTCCTCTCTCTCAAAAACTGACTTGATCGTTGGAGGGGATACGCCGAAAAACACTCCGGCGCCCTTCTAATTTGTTCTTCTTTATTGCAGGAACCTTTCTTCAGCCTTACTGGATCGTTCCGTTGATCCACGAGGGTCTCCCATTACCGTTCCAGGTTATCACCGGACCTCACAGGCTGTTCCAAGCAGCGGGGTTGACCACTCGACTGACTCACTCGAGTTCACCAAGGGAGAGATCTGTTCTCGTATTTATATTGTGCAAGATCCAGCACGCACAACAACAATTACTCTGGGTGGTCTATGAAGTACCTTGTCAATCTTGATCCAGTTATGGATGCATTTCCAGAGTCCATATTAGGTTTGCATTATTACAAATTTCTTATACTAAATCTTCTGAGGAGGAATGATGATAATGAGTCCTTTCTTGTGTTGGGCATACCTGGTAAAGCCATTCGTTACAATATCAAGGACAAGACTTTCAAGAAGCTTTGTGACTTTCCCCCAGGTCATCTAAATTTTGAGCCTGACCATGCCCCAATGTCTGGATCGTATGATGCATTTCAATACATTGAGTGTCTCTCTCTTTTTGTTTGACAATAAGAGACAGTTGATTGAATTACATGAGATTCCAGTCGCTGTAGAATCTGAATGGGGTAATATGTATGCAACTATTTCTGTTTTTCAACTGAACATCTTTTACTAGGATGTGAATGGACCAAGAGGGTTTGGTTTGGCTCTGATATTGGATATAGACTTGAGAGAGAGCTACCAACTTCAGTCTCAGTGGTCATCCTCACTGTTGGAGTCCTTTAACGACCTTTCCCGATCGCTGGAAGTCTTGGGCATAATTGCAACAATAGGGTGGACAATCTGGAAGGCCCGAAATCAGAAAGTGTTTGATCAAAAAGATCCAAATGCCTTTGCCACAGTCCTCAGAGCACAAATCCTTTGGTATGGAGGTAAAATCCCTTGATATTCATCCTCAGACTGAACTTTCTTCAGCATCAAATCAATTGGGAATTCAAAACTCCCTTTACAGATCTGGACTTAAGGTAAGCTGTGATGGGGCCTTCAAGGGTGAAAATGCTGCAGTGGGAATAATTGTAAGCGACATCAACGGTAAGGTAGTGGATGGCATAGCCAAACATATACCAGCCATATCAAGCTTGTATTCTGAAACAGCAGCAGTATGGCAAGCCTGCCTTCTTGCATATACCCTATGCCTACAACAGGCTACCATTGAGAGTGATAAATCTGAGGTTATCAGACTCAGCTCAACTGAAGGAGTACCTCCTTGGGAAGTCAGCACCTTGTTTGAAGACATCAAGCACTTTGCAAGAGATATTAATCTAAAGTTTCTGCACAAGCCTAGAGCTCATAACAGGGCAGCTTATTGGGTGGCAGCATCTGTTATGACTAACTCTCTTCCTTTGAGTTGGGTCAGCTGTCCATCACCTGAGGTTAAGGCTTTCTTAATTTCTGAATATAACACTTTATTTTCGAGTTGAATGAAATAGACAGCTTTCATGTTCAAAAAAAAAAAGTAATCTGTCAGGCTGAGATCTCATGTGGCTCCTCTGATTGCTTTCATTCTGTTGTTGCCATTGTCTTGGAATTGCAAGCTTGTGAGTTGTGATAATGCTTGTTTAGAAGATTGTGTTGTGATAATGTTCCAGGTATGGATATTGTTTTCTTTGTACATTTCTTTCAAAAAAACTAGTGACACTGTTTGCACCTATAGGTGAGGTCCAAATTTAGTTACAGATGAAAGCTGTCATCATTTTTTGGTACAGAATCGAATCTTATTTATCTCTTCATCTTCTGATACTACTGAATCCTACCCTGCACTTTCTGATTAAGGTGTTGTAGAATTACAAGCACCGGTGAAATATTAGGCTTAATTGCTTATTTATTCAACTGGGCTTGTTTGGAGTTGTCTGTCAACAAATTGTAATGATGTTACTGCAGGTCAAGGGGAGTTTCCCCCCAATTGTCCCATGGATGATGCATTTCCATACATCGAGTCTCTAGCTAGTGTCAGATAATATTTTTTGCAATAGCCAGTAGAGTCCCCTGTTTTCATTTTGTTGTTACATTTATGGAATTGCAAGCATGTGTGTGGTGATAATACTTTTTTTTTTTTGAGCTGATGAATCGAGTATAGAACCAATGGGCGATGGTTGATTACAATTGTTTGGTTTAGGTGTTGAATAGTGTTAGTGATAGTGGCGAGGGTTTGTTGGGTGTTCAGTAGTAGTTGTTTGTTTGGGTGTTCGGTGGTGGCTTTATGGTGGTGGAGCTGGAGATGATGGTGGACTTTTTGGGGTGGATCTGTGTTGGTAGTGGTGCGGATGTGAGTGAGAGCGATGGTGGGGGGTGTTGATTGTTGTTGAGTGGTGGTTTGATGGTAGTGGAGCTGGTGGTAGTGATTGTGGAGCTGGATTTTCCTTTTTTATTTGATTAATATGAAATTGTTTAATGGATGGCATCACAAACAAAATTAGAACAAAATCATAGGATATTTTAGGCATTTTATAAGCAGTGTTCTGTTACGATTTGCAGTTTATTTACAAGTAGGAGGGCTTAGGTGTAATTCAAAAAAGTCTAGCGTGGTGACGGCCCACTAACCCGAAGTTTGAGGGAGTCCTATATAATTTCTCCTATAAATAATATATATATATATATATATATATATATATATATATATATATATATATATATATATATATAAAAAATAAAGTAGCTTTCAATTCAAATTTTAAAAAATAAACAAAATGACTTTTGTTATTCGCGATTGAAATCGTTTTAAATTTTACTTTAAAGTTAATTTAACGGATAATATTAATACTCTAAATTTAATAGAAAAATAGGCTCTGAGGGTGTGTTTGAAATGATTTTTTAAAAGTATTTTTAAAAAGTATTTTTTATAAATATTTAAAAAAAAAGTGTTTGAAACCACGTTACCACTACTTCTATCACCCCTACCGTCGCCGCCGCTGCCATCTCCATCATCATTGTCGCCACCGTCCACTGCCTCCATCACCACCACCCCCCACCATTGTCATCGCCACCATCACTACCGCCGCCAACATCTTTGCCACCGCCACCACCACCACTACTGTCGTTGCCTTCGCCACCATTACGGTTATTGTCATCAACCACAACTATCACCGTCTCCTACCACCACCACTGCTGCCTACTACCTCTCACCCCTACTACAAACCGATATTTAAATTCATTTAATTTTTTTCTATATTTTTGACTTGATTTTAGAAATGAATATAAATATGTTTATTATTTACTATTTTTTATTACTCTGTGCCTTTAGATACAGACAATAACTAGTAATTATATAAAACTAGTGAATACCAATAATTTTATGTAATAATTTTGAATTTAAAAATTATTAGCAATTATTATAATATGATAGAATCCATTAATTCATCATTATTGTTTATAATTAATCAATTATATAACAATTACATTGGATAAAAGAGGAAGACAAGTAAACCTTTATGTATAATTATATCTTGATCGCTGGAGAGTTATCACTTAATCATTTAGATGTTTTGATATTTAAAATATTATATACAAATTTTCTGAAGTTTGCATGCGTAACACTTAAACTCTTGCCATCAAATGTATTATACTCAGATCCCTGAAATTTATAGACGTATAGTACTTAGACCCCTCAAGTTTGAAATGTTATTTTTAGATAAAAAAATACTCCAATTAAATGTAGAATATCAAATATTTTAAATTTTTTAAACCAAAATTAATATTTTATTTGTATCATTTATTGAAATAAAATCAAAAATTAAAAGTTAATTTTTTCTTAAAAATTCGTAATTAACGTACAATCATACTATCTATTAGAATAAAACTAAAAAGATAAAATAAGCGATCTAAGTCATTCATAATACAAAATTCATGTTTTATTATGTCATTTATTGAAATAAAATGAAAAATAAAAATCTAATTTTTCTTAAAAAAATTATAATTATACTATTTATTAGAATAAACTAAAAAATTAAACAAGATGCCAAATTGTAATAGACACAAAATATTTTAGCTTTAATTGTGATAATTTGGAGTTTAATTTAGTCGTTCAAACAACCAATTTAAATTTTAATAAATATTATATTTGTGTATTAATTATAAATTTTTAAGAAAAAAATTAGATTTGTATTTTTAATTTTATTTCAATAAATATCATAATGGAACATGAATTTTTGTTGTTAAATTTAAAATATGTGATATTTTATTTTTAATTGAAATATTTTTGATTTAAGTATAATATTTTAAATTTGATAGATCTAAGTATTACACGTTTATAAAATTTAAGAAGTTTAAATTTAATTTATTAATAAATATATTAAAAAATATTGACGGTAAGAGTCTAAATATTGTACAAGTATATATTTTAGATTATTTGTATAAAATATTTTAAATGTCAAATTGGCTAACCGATTTCGTGACAAAGTTAAGGAAACTTCGGTGTAATTCTCCCCGACCTTTATTATTCTTTGTCTACAAGTAAAGGTTCCGTCACTACTGTCCCGCTATTAGTCACAGTCAACGTCCGTGAAACTGCGCGCCCACCAATTTATACACAAAGTCCTCTCATTCCGGCGACAGCCCAACACTGACACCACAAAATCTGCCACAATTATGGCCGCCGAGAGCATACCATCGGCCCATAGAGTCACCGGCGACGACGACCTCTTGACGGGGATACTAATCCGCCTACCCACAAAACCACTCCTCCGTTTCAAGTCCGTTTCCAAACACTGGCTCTCTCTCATCACCAGCCCATATTTTTATCGCCGCCGAAGCCAAGGCATTACCACTCCCTCCGGCTTATTCTTGCGCCGATATTCTTCCCCGAAACATGACTTTATCCCCCTGGACGGTACAAGCGCAACCAAACCCCACTTCAGAACTCTCAATATTGTCGAACGCGGTGGTATACAAATCTCGCAATCTTGTAATGGTTTATTGTGTTGCTTTACCGTTCAAAGAACTAATGCTCCGTGCAAATATTATATCTGCAATCCTACTACCCAAAAAATCACCACACTTCCTGATCCTAGTGGTCGGATTTTCAATTACACTCGCGGTGTTCAATTGGCCTTTGATCCGTCGAAATCATCATGCTACAAAGTTGTTTGTGTTTATTCCGCCGTGGGACTGTCTGGCCATTATGAAATTGAAGTATATTCATCTGAAACCGGCATTTGGAGTCGCTCTGGTAATCCTTTCCGCTCATCTGTTAAATTTAAGCAAGGGGTTTTCTGGAATGGTGCTATTAATTGGTTCAGCTCCTCGGATGAATTTTTGTGTTTTAATGTTGACGAAGAACTCCTTCGAACACTGTCAATGCCACCAGTCCCCAGTGGTGGTGAGAGGAGGTTCGTTAAATACTTCGTGGAATCTAATGACCATTTGCATCTTATTGAGAATTATGGTCCTCCTACGTCACATGTCATTGTCTATGAGATGCCAAGAGACTATTCTGGTTGGTTTGTGAAGTACATTGTTGATCTTGACGCAGTTATGAAAGCATTTCCAGGGTCCATTAACGAAGGTGTTGACCCATCAGACGTGAATTACTACATGTTTCTTATACTAAATCTTACACGAATGGATGACGATGATGAGTCATTTCTATTGTTTACCTTACCAGGTAAGGCCATGCGTTACAATTTGTCGGACAGGACTTTTAAGATTGCTTTAGACTTGGATGAAGGTCAAAGCGGGATTGCCCCAATTGTCCCATGGGCTGTTGCATTTCCATACATTGAAACTTTGGCTTGTGTCTGATAATATTTCTTGCAAGAGCCAGTAGAGTCCCCTGTTTTCACTCTGTTGTTGTTACATTTATGGAATTGCAAGCATGTGTGTGGTGACCATACTTTTTGTTTCTTTGAGCTGATGAATTTTTAGATTTGATGGGAATGCTGAAGGCAGGACTAGTGCAGCTGGATCACCTCCTTTTCAGGGAGAGCTAATGCTTGTTGGGTATTTTGGTTTGACACTACTTCCCACTGGGTGACGCTTGGCCACAATTACCAAACCGTTAGTATGTAAGGGCTTTAGTTTTTTTTTTTTTTTTTAGTTCTTGGTGTTGAAGCTGTTTTTCTTATCCATGGGCAATGAGATTTGATGTATTGGGTATATATATATATACTGTAGAAGCTTTAATCTTCGTGCTTGTTTTAATTGTTAGTCCAGTTTATGTAGGTTTTTGTGATAATACTTAATTGTAAAGGTAATTTAGCATTTTGTGTCTTGATCATTAAGATTATCTATATCGTCGGGTGTTCTATTTTTTCCACTGTTCTGTTTTATTCTTCTTTCTCTTTCAACTAATGACAGGGTTTCAACCTCTAGTTTGAATGTCCGATTTTTAGTAGTAGATGAATGTTATT